ATTACGTTGTTTTTATTTGTCACTGATTTATTTTATGTCAACAGCAAACTACCGTGCTTAATTATATTGTTTTCATACAGAACGACAGATATAACCGGAAAGCTCCCAATGATTTGCAAAAGCTCACAGTGAAGTCGCTTTCCGTGTCGGAATGTCAGCAGGATAAGAATTTAGGAGTATACAAAAGAACCAATCCAATTTCGGATAGACAGATCTGCACATTCAAGAAGGATGGCCAAGGCATCTGTCAGGTTGGTGGTTACTTGTTGTTACAGTAACGCCTTATGTGGTAATAAACATAAATCCTCTCAAACTCAATTTAAGACTCAGTCAAAAATAAAGACAAATGTTTGTCTGTCTGTTCGTCGTACAGAGTGTTCAAAAGAGCAACATGACCGTGAAGAACATCCAAGAACCTTAGTATCGCTTTTTTCAACATGTCTTATAAATTTACACATTTTTGTGAATTTATTAACCTAAGGAAAATTTTATATGCCTCTCCGGCAGCTTTGTCATTAAAGAAATACATACAAACAATAATACGCGTTATGTATTGCTCGCCCATGGTATTCTGCTTTCTATCGAGAAATCGCATGCTTGTCTTTCAAGCTTCAATCGCATGCTTGCATGTTCAAGCTTTTTATCACAGAGACAGACGTCTCTGTGATAAAAAGCTTGAACGTTAAGTTACATTTATTATTAAAAATGATCATGATATATCAATGTCATTCCAGGGTGATTCTGGTGGTCCGCTGGTGTATAAGGGGGAGGTAGTGGGAATAACTTCGTGGAACATTCCCTGTGGGCGCGGCCGTCCTGATGTCTTCACAAGAGTTTTCTCTTACCTCGACTGGATAAAGAAAAACACAAGTGGCTAGTGGAAGAGTGCGAAAAAACACCCAATTATTCAATTTTAATCTATATATTACTGATATGTATTTCAGAACAATAAAAAGTGTGTTTCATTTATGTATTCTAGTCGTTTTAATAAAATAAATAAGAAATCATGCTAATTAAGTTATATCAAGTAATTAACGGTAAATGGCAATCGGGACCAGCCTTAGATGTGTGTTAGTTTCAGGAGTGCTGGTTTGACATCTAGCACTGAGCCTTGCGAAAAACTACCAGCACATTTAATCTTCGATTGAAAAATGTATAGCTTTTCATGAAGGCAATTATTTTAAGAAGTTGTTAGTTTTATTTACAGGCAAGTGGTGTGGTGTTGTAAGTCTATTTTATTAATATTCGTTGATTTATTTACTTAAGTTTATTGTATTTTTTACTATAAGGCTTCAAATATGTGTAAAATGTAATTGGCTATCAGATCATAAACTTCTACTGTTATTGATTGCACTAAGAGCGCGTAACTCTGGCGCAGCTAGGTATAAGCTAACGACAATCAAGTCTATGGTTTTACGAGGTCACTTACTCGATTCTTGCTATGTGCTTGCTACCCTGCGCTCTCTACCTGTGCACAGGGACCGACATTAAAAAGTAAGGTATTTAATTCGTACATAATGCCTCGTCTGTCTTACGGATGCTAAACCTGATCTCTAACTAAGAAAAACATAGAAAATTTAAGAGAATGTTAGCAAATGCATGAGGAGAAACATGCTAAAACTAAAAAGGCACGATAAAATTCACATAACGAACAAAATTATAAAGCATTGAAACGATAATAAGGTGGCTAAAGTGGCGATGGACAGCACAAATCATAAGAAATACTGAAAATGGACGAAAATAAAATATTCTTCATTCTCTTTAAAATTTTAAAACTATGGGTTAAATAACAATAAAAGAAATACAGACAAATATTGAAGAAAACACAGAATAAGAAAAATGAACATAGTACAAAAGATTGTGGTTGTGTCTACTATTTCAGGAAAGCGTAATACAATGTTCAAAATTTGGATTTTAGAGTTTATTCATGACCTGTTTCCTGGCGTTGAAAGCAAAATAATATATGTGTTAAATAATGTTCGAATTAAGCAATAGATTAGATTTTTAACCATTGGTCTTGTGACACTCGACGCTCCTTTATGACAACGTCACCTTCTTATAAACAGTGGTATAAACCACAGGGCCGTATTAGTGTTTCTTTTTCTTCGATATTAATTCGAGTTACACTTTTGAGCGTGGTGACCGATAAGAAAACAAATTTTTCTTTTTTTAAATAAATAAAAAGTTAATATTCTTTAAAATATTTTTGAATCAACTTACGTATCAATGTAAGATTTTTCTGCATTATGTTTACGAAATTTCTTTTGACGTTCAGCATTTGATTTTGATACTGTTTTTATTATCTCTTCATTTTTTTTCAATACTTTCTGACGCTGATAATATGTCATATGACGTACTTTTCTTCTCTATAAAACAAATATATCTAGGTGTAAATAATTAGGTGTAAATAGTGAAATGACACACCAAAACAAAATTATTCAGTTGTAAAAAAATGACAATATTTAGAAGTGATTTTCGAATTTCGCGCAATGTACTTTTATATAGATATAATCTTATATATAAAATTCTCGTGTCACGGTGTTCAAACTTGAACTCCTCCGAAACGGCTTGGCCGATTTTGATAAAATCTTTTGTGCTTATCCAGTATCTATGAGAATCGGCCAACATCTATTTTTCGTCTAAATCCACCCCTAATTTTTTTTTATTTATTTTTAAACAAAAATGTTTTATGATACAACATACAAAAATACATACAATGCTCAATTTTCACCCTTCTACGATCAACCCTTATTTTTTAATAGCCATTTTAGTAATTTAATCATTTTTCCTCTCCGCAAAACAACGTTTGCCAGGTCAGCTAGTATCATAATATATACTTTCTCTGCGCGGCATTCATGTGGCATTTGCTATACACCAAAAACAAAGGTAATAAATAGTACACGTGCTTGGTGTGATGGTTTCTGTTATGTACATAATGAAGAATGAATTTATGAAATCGTTTCCGTCTCTTTTAGGTTATCTTTATAGCAGTATTATATTTTCAATTCAAAATTAATACTGCATTTGTGATAATAATAAAATGTATGTATATAGAGTACTCACTCATTTTCTGGAAAAGCCGTAAAGTGTAAATCATTTTCGGCTTCAGTCTTTAGAAGAGCGAATATTTACGATAATTAACAAAATTAATTTTGTTTCGAGAAGATAAAACTTTATATATTTACAGAACCCAAGCAATTGTCTGAAAGTCTAACAAATGATCAATGTGACAGCACTGAGTGTGTCACATTGATCATTTGTCTTTAATACCCAAATCTGTTCTTTGACTAGAGCAAGTGAAAGAGCTTGTCACGCGCAAATGTACAAAAATTAGTTAATTCTCATGCGACCTTATATATTACGAAGAAGTGTTCAATTTAATTAATTTTATATAATTAATTAAACTTTAATTTTAATAAATTGTGACTTATAGGCAAATCCTAACATAATATATTATATAATGGTTTGCTATCATCTCTTAAATAACGTTTAGTTTTCTCGTGAATTTTGTACCAAATTCTGTGTCATTTTACTCAAAATTAAGAAAAGTATACAATATTACAAATAAGCATAATATTGCTCATTTGTAATGTGTATATGTATAGTTATAAAGGAAGTAGGCAAATTGATATTGCTGTAATATATTTTCATCTTTGATGTTTAGAAATGGGCCCGTATGTAAAAGAGAAATTCACGCGGAAAACCAAACCAATAATTTTCGACTCATTTAAATCGAAAATTCAATATGTCGATAATGATACAACATGGCTAATATTTACTGAAATGACATAAATGCTAGTAAAACTATTGTGTGCTAAAAATATTACCGATTACACAATAAATATTTTATACGTTCTCAACCAAAAAACCTTTTTAACACGTCGAAATATGGGACTTCCATCCATAGTTCCCATCAATTACAAATATGTAATTTATCTAAGTTGTTGGTTTTTTATGATACAGGAAGACAGACATGGTATGTGGTTCACTTAATGGTACGTGATATACCCCAGCCAACAAGATGCGCTGACGTATTTTGGCTTTGGATATTCGGAAATCCACAGACTGAAACCGAAACGCGATTAAGTTTCACGGCTTTCTCATCTGTGGATGGCGGTTCGTGACCCGGACGGCATTTCTATATTCCTACCACACATTTAATATTCAAGTTTCAGAAACATGTTGGAATGACTAATGACGAATTTAGTAATATTTTTTTTAAATTTTAATTTAAAAATAATGTACATCACTTCCTCTACCCTTGCAAATATAAATGACTGTTTAATTACAATTGTCTTTAAAATTGAAAATTTGACGAATTATACTGTATTTAGAGATCCTTAGAAATAACTTGCTCTAGTGCACTAGTTGTTACTACAGATCACCAGGTCCGGGTTCGTATATGGTCGGGAGAAATGTAACTTCAGTATTTAAAATTTTTCTAACGAATTTCTTTTTCATTGCGCCCTAAGTCATACCGGCAATATATCGTATAATCATTATTCATATCGACATCTAGCATTGTCAACATCGACTTTTCGGACTAGTCAGCAAACGTCAACAAAAAGACCACCGCGCCGGCTACCTACATATCCAAATAAAAAAAATATAATTCAACATTTCTTTTACTTATACAAATATATAAAGAAAAAACTTATTTGTTTATTGCATATTCAAACCGTTGAACTGTTAGAGGTTACGTCACTATTTTACTTTTGAACTTCCATAGGTTGGAAGGTTGGAAGTTCAACCGGTACAGCTTAGAAAGTTAAGAAGATTATTGATTTTTATTTAGAACCCATAGAATTAAATAGACTACTATCATATTTAAATTATCTTTTTAATTTACTTTGACATTGAGTTTGTTTAATAAGTTGATAATTAGCAATTTATATACGATTAATGATAGGTTAAAGTAATGAGATACAACAGTATAAATATGAAGGAATATGTCAGTAAAAGCACTACTTTCCACTGCTTAGTAACATCTACTAGGCAAAATGTTGAAGTTTAAATTAACTTGTCTCTTCCTCGTGGCAATAATGACCATCTATGGTGAGTATTATTTATTTAATTTCCTGCTTAATAAAATATTTTTTTGTTTGACTGTTTCGTATATTAATTGGTCAAAGCTAGGATTGATGTTCAACGAAGTCGGGGGTAAGCCGTGCAAAGGACCTATCCACGATTACTCTTGACCACGGCTTTTGATAAGTTGTCATAGTGGTCGTTGAGTGCGTTTCGCGGCCTCCCCCATTGTGTATTTGGCGGCCCGGGCTTTTTTTTGTTCAATTCATTATGTCAAAAACGATTTTTATATTGAAATTATCGCTTCGCGCTTTAAAGATTAACTTGCTTAAATGACGAGACGTGATCGACGTCGTGGGTAACAGCTTAAGTTTATAAAGATGAAGAGGAGGTTTGCAAAAACAAGTTTGGATGCCCAAAATAACGATTCTTGCGAAGTGGCTGACACAGCTAGTATAATATACATTTTTTTTAGTTCAATTATTGGCCAAACTTCATCAGTCAAAGTAAGGATATTTCAATGTCTTATTCCAAAAATTTAAACGTTTTTCAAATCTATCTAATATATATAAAAGTAGCAAGTACAATTTATGTTGAATAGAATAGTTGGGAGGGCTGTCGAAAGCGATTTTCATATTGAAATTATATTTTTTTTGTTTCTTAGAAGGTACAGCACAAGACTCCGCGGGTGGACCCGAAGATGCACATCACCGTATACGTTGTAAAAAAGGTAAACAGTCGTTCGAATGTTCAGATAAACCTAGACTTTATCTTTCCACTTAAAAAATACAGTCAAACACATAAGATTTATGAAATTGTTTATCTATATTCTTAATCTATATTAATATATGAAGCTCAAGAGTTTGTTTGTTTGTTTGTTTGAACGCACTAATCTCAGGAATGACTGATTCTAATTGAACATTTTTTTTTGTGTTGGTTAGAAAATTTATTGACAATATATGTAGGTTATAAAGCATTGTGCTGTGACTAATAGCAGCGAAGAAAAAGTGGAAAAAACAGGGAAAATTATTCAACCTTGTGGGTTCCGTTGCGTACACTGCGGAAGTAAAAATGTGCATGAAGAACGATTCTTTTTAAATGATCTAAAAATTCCGCGACGCTATATGTCGCTTTAAAGATTAACTTGCTTAAACGACGAGACGCGTTCGACGTCGTGGGTAACAGTTTAAGTTTATAAAGTTGAAGAGGAGGTTTGCAAAAACAAATTTGGATGCCCAAAATATCGTCTTCGCGGGCGATGTGGCTTACACAGCTAGTATCATCATCATCATTATCAGCCCGTTTGGGTCCACTGCTGGACGTAGGCCTCTCCCAAAGCATGCCACTCGGCCCTCTCTTGAGCTCTATTTATCCATTTGCTGCCGGCCACTTTCTTCAGGTCATCTGTCCACCGTGCTGTAGGTCGTCCTACACTGCGTTTGCCTAATCGTGGTCTCCAACTAGATGCGGCTCCAGCGACCATCTTCTCTTCTGCAGAAGCCCAGCCCATGCCATTTTAACTTGCCATTTTGCTAGCAAATCCGTCACTTTCGTTCTTTGGCGGAGACTTCGTTTCGAACTTTGTCCGAGAGATATTCCTAAAAGCTCTCTCATGGAGTTGGGCTACTTTTAGCTTGTGGATCAATCGCAAGTAAGATTCCAAGTCTCGGCCCAAGTCGTTGGGTAGGATACACTGGTTAAACGCTTTTGTTTTTAGACTCTGTGGGAAGATGACCTGAGTATCCTCCAAGTTTTCTGAATGCGGCCCACCCTAGTAGTTCCTCAGCCTCGAAGTTTTGCTGCCTAGTTTTTTTTTGGCCAAGGTAAAGTTGTACTACTTAAGAGCGGTCCGCTACTAACACAGCCCCGGAAATGGTTATTAAACATGACCTTGGTCTTACCCGATTCACTTGAGACAACGGACTGAGAACAGCTAGTATAATATACATTTTTTTTAGTTCAATTATTGGCCAAACTTCATCAGTCAAAGTAAGGATATTTCAATGTCTTATTCCAAAAATTTAAACGTTTTTCAAATCTATCTAATATATATAAAAAGTAGCAAGTACAATATATGTTGAATAGTTGGGAGGGCTGTCGAAAGCGATTTTCATATTGAAATTATATATTTTTTGTTCCTTAGAAGCTACAGCACAAGACTCCGCGGATGGACCTGAAGATGAAGGTAATCGCAAACGTCGTGTCAAAGGTATACAGTCGGTGGGATGTTCAGCTAAGCCCTATCCTACCTAGACTTTATCTTTGCCATTACAAATTTCAATCAAACCTTTTAACATTTAAAAAAATTGTATAATCACGGTAATATACATTTCTTTTAAGAGTTCTATTTTTCGTAAAACATTGCATAGTTTAAATTCGTCCACATCGTCCACAGACACTGTGGCAACATACTGGTAGAACCTAGCTGAGTTGAACTATGTATATTAAACACTAGTTGAGCTAGCGACTTCGTTCGCGTCGAATGTTTAGTTATTTTAGCCGTCAAATTTTGTTGTTGCAATCCCCAATCTTTATAAATTACAGCTTTCCAACGAAGTCGGGCGTGTCCCGTAGGTCTTGCGAGTTCTTACAAGATAATCTTAAAAGATATACTACCGCCGACATTTTTTTATATCATTTAACGATAAATAATTATTTCGTACATATTTTTTGGGTCTCTTGAACCGGTTTCGCATCAGAAACTCGCAAAGATGAAATTTTTTTCTCCGTTTGTTCCACAATTACCCACTGTGTCTACGGTCCTATTTCTCGTAGTTTGATGTTTAATATGCCTTCCTCGAGAAATGCTCTAACATATAAAAAAAATCGAACCAGTAGTTTCTAAGATTAGCGGGTTCAAACATACAAACTGTACACTAATCTCAGGAACTACTGGTTCGTATTGAAAAATTATTTTTGTCTTGATTAGAGCATTTATCGATAATTCATCATTATGGATTTCCGAGACGTACGCTGCAAAAACGGTTCAAGATACCTAAAAAATATCTATGAATGAAACTTCTTTAAATGATCTAAAAAAGTCAGTTACGCTATATGTCTATCTTTCAAGATTAACTTGCAAGAACGACGGGAAGGAGGGGTTGCAAAAACGAATTTCGATGCTCAAAATACATATTCTTAGCGCGCGAAGTCGCCGTAACAGCTAGTAATAGTATAATAGTTTGACGTTGCAATCTGCACCAGTAAGGGATTGTGTTACGTTTGAGCCACAGTAGACGGAACTGTCATGACCTGACTCCCGGGCCCGTAAAATGAAATGAAATACGTATTTGAGTAAAGTTCTTACTCATAGTAAGGTATATAAATTTAATGAAAGCGATCTGTCTTTTATAAGCACAAACAAACTGCCCATAAAACATTACACATCTTTACAACAGTTATAAAGAATTTCATTTATAATAAAAAAAAAACAACGTTGGAATAAACTCAATTGTTTTGCTTAAAAGATCAGTGAATCCTGTTTCTTCTAATGGGGGCCTTCTAACTGGAGTGAAAATCTGTTATCATAACAGTTTGTGCCGCTTACTACACGTTTACTTATATTATAACACTTATTTCACGTTCCATGATCCTAAAGAGTCTGATTCCGAGACCCGTATCATCGGAGGTGAGAAGGCGGCAGACGGAGAATTCCCCCATCAGGTATCGCTGAGGATAAAAGACAATAGAAACGTCTGGCAACATTTCTGTGGAGGTTCTATTATAGCAAAGAGATGGATTTTGACAGCAGCACATTGTACAGAACCTTTTAAGTAAGTTGAAATGCCTGAATCCCAAATCCAAATTTTGAGGTGGTAGCTACGTTTCTGATTGAAACAGTCTCACATTATTGACGATGACTTAATAGTTTAAGTATCATAGTATTCATCGTTTCAACCACATCTCGTTGAACTACTGGAAATCGGCCTTACATTTCGCCAGACCCGAAATCCGAGGACTATATTATCTCCTTCCAACGAAACGTTCATAAAAGTGTTTAATTTCAGACAGTATATGAATAGAATGAGAGTAGTGGTGGGCACAAATAAATTAGACAGTGGTGGTGACCAATATGAATTCGAAAAGATTATTAATCACGAGAAATACAATAATAAAGCCTTTACATTTGATATCGGAGTTATAAAGCTTAAGAAGGATATTAAATTTGGCGAGAAAGTCGGAAACATTTCTCTGGCAAGCTCAAACACACCGGGTGGAGCTGAGTTGGTTACTTCAGGATGGGGTTACACTACCGTAAGTTTTAATTGATAATGATTTATTTTATACAAAGATTCGATATCGATGAAGAAGGCAGAACCCGTGTATCCTTGACTGCGAACTGCCTTTGCCAGTTTTATAACACTGTTCTCATATGTCTAATGTGTAACGTAGGCTTTAATAAAAACATGGCTAATGAAAATACATGTAGTTCATGTTAAAGATTATGTCATTTTTATTTTGTATTAACTTATGCTGGGGACAATCCACATCTTAATTAATATTGTCTTCATACAGAACGGCGGAAATAATCGAAAACCGCCCAATGATTTGCAAAAGCTCACAGTGAAATCACTTTCCGTGTCGGAATGTCAGCAGGATAAGAATTTAGGAAGATACAAAAGAACCAATCCAATTTCGGATAGACAGATCTGCACATTCAAGAAGGATGGCCAAGGCATCTGTCAGGTTGGTTTATACACGTAGTTATAGTAACGCATAATGCGGTAACAAACATGCACCCAGCATGCTCAACGAGTTCAAAGATCCTGTCTCTGTTGGATGGTCGATTTAATTGAGAATTCTAGGTTTAGTTTTGTGCGTATCGTATTTAACAAGTTAGGATGTGAATTAAAAAATGCAGTCAAATTAAGACACTAAGAAAACTGATTGACTCTCTGGAACAAAATTTAACGATTGGACGAAATCATGTTACGCGGGATAAGCACAATATTCTACTAATGTGATTTTTTAACATAATTTAAGAATGGCTTATCTGTCTGTCATCATTTCATTTATTATTAAAAATGATTATGATATATGATTTAAAATTTACATTCTGTCCCTAACGTGTCTGTCTTCGCAGGGTGATTCTGGTGGTCCACTGGTGCATAAGGGAGAGGTAGTGGGAATAACTTCGTGGAACATTCCCTGTGGCCGCGGCCTTCCTGATGTCTTCACAAGAGTTTTCTCTTACCTGGACTGGATAAAGAAACACACAAGCGACTAGTAGAAGCGTTTGAAAAAACATACAATTATTCAATTTCAAACGATTTGTTACTGATATATGTCAGAATAATAAAAAGTGTGTTTAATCTATGTATACATGTTGTTTTAATAAAAAAAGGCTTATTCCCGATTTCGATCCTGCAGCGACGATTGCACGGTGTCGGCCTGGATAAAAGAGATCGAGCAATTGGGGGAGATTTATACATGGAATGACACAGTAAAGGCATTCTACCTACAAGACAAGCGCGGTCTGGTTCGCAAATGGTATAATCGACTCGACGATTATTCAGGTGACCGGAATAAGTCGACCCAGTAGTGTCTAAGATTGCGCGTTCTAACAAACAAACAAACACTATAGCAAATTGAGTAAGGCTTTCACGGCCATCGATCAGAAGAGGTTCTCAAAGAAGACCTCTTCTCGCTCACATCGGCCGAACAGCCCGAAAGACAATAATATGCAAACACTATAGCTTTATATATTGGTAGGTATATATTAAAAAAGATCTGTCCTTGGATAGTTGACTCGCGTTGTCCGCACATAGCCGGTGCCAAAACCTCTCAGTACAGATCTGTGCCATCCCTTGTTAAGAAGGAACTTAAGTGCAGGCGTTAATTTAAGCATTGGCATAATTTATAATTTTCGCTTAACGAGTGCTAACAAATTTTGACTGTAATATTACACATATTTAAGTAAAACACTTAGCGGCTAAACTTGCTTTCTCTGCCCCTCACCCCACACTGACCACGATTATAATTTAATTTAATTATAATTAAGTTATCTAACACATTTCGCGTTTAAAACCGTTGAAGTAATATTACACGTAAAATAATCTGCTCTTCTAATATAGTGAACCGTTTTTAAGAGATTTATAAAATTAAGAATCATCTAATTTAGTTTTATTTTGCTGTGCGTTACCGAAATTATAAAGTGTTTTTAGGTTTCCCAACACTGGACGGACGCAAAAATAAATTTGTTTTAATGATCGGCGTCCTAGAAAGAAGCAAGCACTTACACTTCTGTGCACTATCTGACTGAATCTATTGTTTCTCCAGAATTTGAACCCGGGACTTTGGTGTTGTACACAATATTTGAAAATTCGCTTAACATTAATGAACTATAAAATTATTTAAATTAACGACCTCTTTAGTCCAGGTTTAGTACTCTTGACTTAGCAGTGTCTCAAAAATCAGGGTCGGGTGAAATGTAAATTTGGTTTTTGAATTTAGAATGATGGGATATTATAGCAATGTTAAGTTTAAGCTCCCAAACATGTCTATCTAGACTAATATAAAAAACAGAAGTGTTTGTTTGTTTGTATGTTTGAACGCGCTAATCTCACAATTCAAATTGAATTGAAAAATTTTTGAATAGAATGATCTAAAGTCCACGACAATATATGTCTATCTTTTACGATTAACTTGCAAGACGAACTTTAAACTTTGATCAAGTCGTGGGTAAAAGCTTAAATCATATATAGGGGAGGTTTGCAAAAACGAATTTTCATGCTCAAAATAGTTATTCTACGCGGACGAAGTAGCTGACTCAGCTAGTTTATTTATAAACACATTCTACCGTCACGGAATATACCTACTGCGATATAATTATTACAAAATTTCTCAAACATTCACAACAACTACAACCGGTGTATGGTACAGTATAGATGTGACATCTATAGTAATATTATACACTTGAAGAGTTTGTTTGTTTCAACGTGCTAATCTCAAGAACTCCTAAGGTTCTAATTGAAGAATTATTTGTGTGAGAAACGTTTTTATGGTTATTAAATTTGGTAGAAAATAAAAAAATATATATTTTCTTTAGATAATTTAAAAAAAATGTCCTCGACACTTTACGTCTACGTATCTTTTAAAAATAACACAAGAACTGTTTTGGGCAAAATGATGTTTGCCAGAACTTGGGTACATAGAAGCTTCAGTACAACAGTAGTTACAGCTGTGAAGGCTAAACCAGCTTACATAATATATACGCACCCAATCATATTCGCCTGTATTTTTTTAAACTCTATTTGTAACTGTGACCTGTACTTACTGTTTAGCTTTACATATTATTATTTTAAATTCTAATAAGTTTCGTTTTCAGCTGTTGTAACCTATATAATAAAATGTCTGAATTTCAATTGCCCTTACATAGGTAGGAGACAGACAATTTTCTGAGTATGTACAACGGATTGTTAAAAATAAAACAACTCTCTTTTGTTCAATATTTATTAATAAAACTACAGTTTTAACATAGACTAACGTTACATTAACTTAATTTTATTTAATCTTAAGGATTCCCACGGAATTACGCTGAGTATTTTCTTTGAAAATTTGATACATTTAAAATAATAATTGATTATAAGTTGAATGTCAATTTGTTAGTTAAGTGTCAGTTAGGCATACCAGTCACAAGCGATTCTGAATCCACTTTTTTTTTTCTTGCGATTACACGTCATAATATAAAACATGTAGACTGTTAACGAGTCTACTCTTATTTAAAACAACGAAGTTAAATATCTATATCATATTTTAATCATCAATAATTTTCTTTAATGTAACACTTACTTAAATGAAATGCGAAATAAATTAGTTGCTTTATCAATGATTTGACGTTTCAGATAATTTAGAAAAGTTGTGAACCGCTAGACGTGTATCAGTTATTTAAATAAAACACTTCACCAGTATAAAACGCGATATATATTTGTTAAACTTATTTGAAAATAATTTTAACTACGGCCCGACGTTTCGGATGCTTTGCAGCAGCCGTGGTAACGTTTAAATAGTTTTCAAATAAGATTAACTAATAACTATATATCGCGTTTTATACCGTTAAAGTGTTTTATTTAAATCCATACTTCTGGTGTATCGCGTAATTCGTTTGCTCTCTTGAAATATAAACAATACAGTTGTATACTCAATAAGTTATTTATGTTAGCAAGTTAGTATCATTGACAATATTTTTGGAAGTAATTTGTAGTATATCAAGACTATAATTTACTGAAGGCGTGCATTCTATTTACAACTTGTAGGTGTTTCTTATCTGAACAAAAGAAGAGTCGTGGGGCCTGTATTAACAAAAGGTATATGAGAAGTTTTGAGGTAAACACAGGGGAAGGAAAGTTATGTCTACTGCTATATTGGGGGAGGTACTTCAGAGACTTATTGGATACACCTATTCGTTTTTAAGGCTCGAAACAATGTAACAGTGGAAATTGTTAAAGACGACCTTATATTTTAACCGATAATACTCTTTAAAAATCTAAAATAAATTTTTAAAAATCGACTCGGGCAGGACTTTAATCGGCATCGTCAGCGCTCCGTGCTATTGGACTCGGTACCTTAATGGGTAAGCAATAGCTCTACCCATTAAGCTACCGAGTCCGGAATTTTTAATTTATTTTAGTTTTTCAAATTATATGTATAGTGCCATACTGTACCATAACGTGTGAAAAAAAATAAAGTTTTAAACAATAATAATATCTCTTTTTAAATAAAACAATTCAATGGTTTAAAACATGAAACATATTAGTTAATTATTTCCGTTAGACAGTTAAAGTGTTTAAATGTGAAATCGTAAAGTATTTGATATTACCTACAGGCCCAACGTTTTGTTTTTAGAGAAAGGTCCCGTGTATAAATTAAATTTATTTTAACCGCAGGAGATTTTTTATAACAGACAGTTGAGAAGTGTTTTACACATGATGTACTAATCGGTAAAGATTTATTTATCTGCATATTTACAATAATGAGAAAATTTTATATGTCGAAAATTAGCGATTTAGTCGCGCGCGTGTTTCCAGCCTTAGTTTGATGTTAGTACATACATTTCTCCTTCAATAACGTGCCCGTTTTCAAATATCAAAGATGAAAATAATTAAAGCAAATATGTAACATCAATTTGCCTATCGGTTATGAATTAACAGTGTATATTTGCAATATAGTATTTTGTTCATAATTTTAAGTAAAATTACACAGAATTTCATACAAAATTTAAAAGAACAAAATGATAGGTTATTAGCTTAGGTAACATATATATATTATGAAATAAGATTTTTGAGAACAAAGATTTCTTTAAATACTTATAAAGACACGTAAGGCTCTGGTTTCCTATAAACTTAAATGTACAGCTATACATGTGGCGCTACTACAATACCTACAATCCAATTGTCAAAAGTCAGTACATTTCATATGCAAATTGATATAATGCGAATCTACTAAATTGATTTTAGACTGCTTTGGGGTCGTACAAACGTGTTCGCAGGGCTCTCCACAAAGCACCCCAGCGGGCTGGTGTTGTTTGTTGTGTTGTGAGTGTTTTGGTCAACTATTGCCGAGGAAGTTGTAATACATTTACCACACTCCCCATCTCTATTGGACGTGGGCGTGCAGACATCAAATATAAAAAAAAGGAGCAAACTGATTGAATGTTACAGATTCCATTTGCTGATGTCATCAAGAGTACATTTATCAAGGAGTATCCGTACAATGGATCACTCACCGATCGAAATCGCTCAAAGTCAGGCGAGGCGTCTCTACGCCAAATGCGTCGCCGATTTCACAGAGCTTTATGGCGAAGCGATATATAACGTTTATAAGAGACCAGAACCTAATAAAATGTTCATGAACAGAAAAATGATATTTCTACGAAGCGAAACGCAATATGACAGCCCGATAGATTCTACGAAATATCGTCAAAGAGATGGTGTTATTAACAGCTGCAGAATCTGTTTGATACCTGCCCTATACAACATATGTAGGATCTTGGATCACGTTTTGACTCGAAATATAGCATTTCATCTAGGAGCAAATGTGTATCGTAAAACATGACGTTATAAGGAAAAGTCATAGTTTTTTAAAATATAAAAAAATGAAAAGTGTATAAATTAAAAATCAATTTTAAATTGCGTAAGCTATTGTTTCATGCTACTCTCACGCAAATAAATATAAATGTGTTTAATTATATGGGATGCGCAATTGTCCAAAGTGTCCCAGGACATAAATAGGCAACAAAAATTGTCCGTCGGTAGAAAAATAGCTAAGTTCTATAGTTGTTGAGTAAAAATTCACAATTCAGGCACCAAATTTCTGCATTGGATTTTATTTTGTCTATTTTATACACGCTTGCTGTGTACAACACGATGTCATAATAGACATCAAAAGAATTGAAAAAACAATGGCTATTGGCAGAACCATACTTAACGATGTGTTATTATTATATAGTAAGAGGACAAATTAAAATTACACGAGTTACGTTTAAGTTCTTTTACATCAACGCTACGCTATGTGACTGGCCTATATATAAATAAAAAAAAAACAGTTGAATATTAAATAAATTAATCAGCTCTTTTGAAGTTCTCAAATCGTACAGTTCTTCATAATTTGTTATAACCACGTATTTTAAGCTTATTTATATGTATTTGGATATGTTGGGGCTTGGGGTTTTCGGCAATAAATATAATGCCTCTTGTATATCTTAATTTCTTGGGCGATTTTGGGGGCGATGACCGTCTTGGAATTCTTGACTTGGCCGATGCGATCTATGCGGTGGTGCATCCTGAAAGAAATATAGAATATATTTTTAATATTAAAAGAGTGAAAACCTTTACGCAAAAACTATGATTAGGCAGGACTTGAACTTACGACCGACCTAAATACACTAACTAATTATTATACACTACGAAACAGGCAGGATTTGAACCGGCATCTACAGGGTACCGTGCTATTGCTCTAACCAATTGAGCTACCGTGTCTTACACGTCATCGTCGAATTTTTCTACCTATTTATACGTGCAAATCTCGCGCAATGTAATTTCAACCTTAACACTTGCGTAGAATCTCTATTATAAGTATTTCCCTTAAATTATTATTAAACAACTTGGGGGATGGGGTTGCTTGGAAGTGACATTACCCCCGCCATATAACATCTAGACACGATAGCTGTCGAACAATTTTGGCTTTCGATATGCGGAAATTTATAGACTGAAACTGAAGTACGATTAAACTTCATGGCTTTTTCATCTGTCATTTAATAACCAGAACATGTTTCAGAAAAGTTATAAATTGAAATATGAGACACATGTTGGACCCGGTGAGATGAAACCAAACCCGTTGACAATTAGCTATACATTGTTAGACTAACGAGCCCGCCATAATTAAAAAAAATATTTGTCTGATCGAGTTTCCTTGGTATGGGAAGATCTTGTTTCCTTCCCTACTTCTAATATCAGCAAGTACGGCGCACGTTTCTTGGATTATCGGGGATTTAAAATCTCGGGAGTACATTGACGAGAGAGATCGCCGATAAGGCTTTGTGGAAGTGAATCGATATCATGAGAACCTTCCACATGTGCCCTTGATGCGCCCTAATTCTGATAATGGGCAGGACGCTTATTGATTTTCTACCTGCTATTGTATTTTCGTCTTAAATTGTAGCCGAGGTCAACGACTCGCAATTATTTTGGCACGAAAAGGGGCGCAATAAATTATAAAAACTATGTTTACAATACAAAATAAACTAGTTAGTTTATTTTGTATTCTATTACTAGTAACACAGTGACCCATACGATTGTTGAGTGCGGTTAACACCGGACATGAGATTGGAGAATAACATTGCAATCTATACTAATTAGTTAATAGTTTGTTTATTTGAACGCGCTAATCTCAGGATTAAAAAAATATTTTTGCATTGATTAGACCATGTAACGAGGAAGGCTTTAGACTACATAACGTTATCCTGCGACCAATAGGAGCAAAGAAATATGGGAATAAAAGTAGGGAATGTATTAATCTCTGAAGGCTTCCGTTCCGTGCGCTGTGAGACCGATTCAATAAACCAAAAATATGTATAAAAGAAATTATCTTTAAATGATTTAACATTTTCGCGACAGAAGGTTTTAAGATTAAATTGCAAGAACGACGGGACGCTTAGTGGCTTAGTCTCGTGGGTGGCTTTAATTTATAAAGATGACGAGTAGGTTTTCAAAAATAAATTTGGACGCTTAAAATAACTATTCCACGCGGACCAATTACAATGTTTTCAAGGTTCAAAAAAATGGAATATTGTCCACCTAAAAAGATCTAAGGTCTGTTAGGTAGAATCTTCTCTTTTATGCATGAAAAAGATACTCCACCTGTCTGGGTTCCTGGGCTTCTTCTGGGGGAGGTGGAGTGGTGGTGGGGACATCACACTCCTCAGTCGGCGGCACGACGCATCTTAAGGAGCGTCTGTCGAATACCAACATGGCTGGACACCTCTGCAGCCGAGGATATCCACCTTGGCATTGCCAGTATCTGTTGCAGGATTTTCCCAGGGGTACGTTGCCGTTGGGGTCTTCGTTGCAGAGTGCTGAAAAATGTAAGTCAAGGTCAAAATTCTGATGCGTAGGTACGCTGTAAAAGATACCAAAAAAATTATGAATTCTTTCATTCCTCCTTAAATGGTCTAAAAAATGTCCGTAGCATGTCTATCTTTTAAAATTAACTTGGGAGAACGATAATGTAACCGACGTCGTGGGGAACAGATTAAGTTTATAAAGATGAAGAGGAGGTTTGCAACAACAAAATATGTATGTAACTAAGCTACGCGGACGAAGTCGCTGACACAGCTAGTTTTTTTATAACCTTAAGTCTAATTACATGAAGTATAAAGAGACATAGTATAAAATGCAATTTATATGGAAATCCAGTTTTTATATCACCGCGCTATCTCTAAGCGTAATCCATTTCGCGCGTATTGTAATATTTTAAAAGATAAAAGCTTTTATTGAAAGTAATAAAAGAAAGAGTTATGTGTAGTAGCAATACGTAAAGTTCCAATCCCTTGGGGATAATCAAAGTAATGGATTGAAGAATACAGGATATGTCTTTGAAATATTAAAATGTTATCCCAAGGGTCCTTATATAACCGGTCTAAGAGAGTATATTCTTTTAATTTTTTTACGATCGAAGGGTAAAGCATTTTGGTGGATGGTGGTTTGTGATTCGTATGGAATTTTCGACCTTTTTAAAATCCAGGATTACCAGACAAAGTCCGACATGTTTGTGAAAAATTATTATTTGATTGAAACACGAGGGGATCGAACCCACGACCCTTAATTAAATACCAACATTGATATGTGTGTGAAATGTTTCTTAAACTTACCAATCTTATATTACTCAATACATAAGCAGCACATAAGTATAATAGAATCCTAAATAAAACAAATGTTATACGATTAAAACAAAATACACGATCACTGCCCATTACGATCTGATTAGTTTCTTGTGCAACGTGATAAATAAATATATATATCGCATTTCAATCCGTTAAAATATTTTGCGACTACATGAAACCCACAAACCCCACAGATATTGTGTTGCATATTTGTATATCTTATTGATAAATTTTAAAAGTGTAATCTCATGTGACATGTAATCTCTAGTCTGCTTCAGCTACTTCCAGAGTGTTCTGACATATGGCATACTACTGTGGGGTAACGCTGCCGCCGTTGAATGTGTTGCAAAAAAGGGCGGGCCGGGCTATCTATCGTATGGGATCTCGGGAGTCATTAAGAAATATCTTTAAAAATATCGGCATACTTACTGTGTACTCGCAGTATATTTATGAAAATGTATTGTATGCCCATAAGAATAAAAGCAAGTTTAGCAAGAATAGTGATAGGCATAATTTGAACTTACGAAATAAGGATAACCTAGCTATCCCCAAATATAGGCTCCATAAAATATCTAATTCATTTGCGGGGAATTGTATTCGTATGTACAATACATTGCCAGTTGAGGTGTCAAATTTATCGATAAATAAATTTTAAAAATTTATAAGATTTAGATTGTCTCAAAAGGCGTATTATCGTCTGAACGATTTCTTTAATGACAAGACCGCCTGGCAGTAATATGGATTTCTCCTTAGGTTAAGAAATTCACAATGTATTAGTTTATAAGACATGTTTAAAAAAAGCCGGACTGAGTTTCTTGGGTTTTCTTCTCGGTTATGTTGCTCTTTTGATCACTCTGTAGAATCACGACAAACAGACAGACACAAAAAAATTTTGACGAATCTAAATAATTTAAATAAAACACTTTACGTTTAACGGATGCATGCATCCGAAACGTCGGGCCGAAGTTAAAAATCATTTTCAAATAAGTTTAACTAATATATCACGTTTTAAACCGTTAAAGTGTTTTATTTAAATGTGTACTCCGCGCGTAAACCATAGACAGTCATATGGATCTAAATCATTTTTACAAAATAAATTTTAAACAGAAAAAAAAGACAATTTTCTGTGTCTGTTTCACGAACCAAACGATAAGAGATGAATAGATTTAAACGATTCTCAACATTGTGCTTTGAAGTGTGAAACAATTTTAACTTGAAATGAAATTACCGATCTAAACTTTTTGATTCTAATGAAATGACTTTAAGCGAATTTCAAAGTCTGCAGAAGCGTTTACAAAGGCGGAAATCCTATTTGGGTTTTACGATTGATTGCTCTGTACTTAAAAAGTTTTTTAACGTAACAAATTGTTTTTTATTTTTATACAGGTGAATCTGTGTAGGTGTTCCGACGGGATATTTATTCAAAAAGTAGTTAAATAAAGCCGGCAAAGTTAGCACCCATTGGTTTTTTAAATTATTTTGAATCTTGTTACCATTTTACAACAAACAAACACGTAAAAATTAGTTTTTTTTTTTGCATAAAAGTTCGTTTAAGACAACTAGGTGTTTTGTTGAAGTTTCAACTATCTAGCTATCGTGGTTCCAAAAGATGTATATAGCCAAGTTTTCATAATAAGATTTGATTATTAATTTTTGTGTACGGAACCCTAAAAATGTGTAAAAGACTACTCGTAGTAGTGTGTATTGATCAAGACATACATACAGATCGTCATTTGTTTATTAGTGTAAGTGTATTCCTGTTCTACAGTTTAGTGGACTATAATGTATTTGCACCTCTTGCAAGAAAACCCTCCGTTCCTTAAACAAACTTATTAACCAACATCAAAGCGAAACGTTTTATACAAGTAATTTGAGATGAAAACCTGAGCCCAATCATTACTGTGTTCGCTTCATTTGGCAAATTTTATTTCACACAAGTGAATGACTCTGAAAGTCTGTGTTAAATAATTTTCCACGTTTTATATATATGTATTATGCGTCTGTTTCACTGTTCGTTCAGACTTCTGTGACCTTCCCGACCGAAACAATCTACAGCTTCTCCGGAATTCGAACCCAGGACCTCTCGCGTTTAACGCAATTCAATGTTAAATGTTTAACAGGAAACTTTTTTCTTGGCTGGTCGGAACTTTTTACAAATGTGTCTATTTTAATTTATAAGACCTAATCATTCATTACTAATGTATAAAGAAAATACATTTTAAATATAAGTTGTAATGTATCTGTATATGAGAAAAGTTAAAAAAATAAATTAACTACAAAATAGTTGTTAAAGGAAATACGTATATGTTTGTATATCTGTGGAGTTTAAATAAAACTTTTACGGTTTAAAACGCGATACATATTAGTTAAACTTATTTGAATTTTTTTTTAACGGCGGTCTATTGATTTGTATGGCAAAAATGACGCGTCCACAACGAGGTCTGATTTTGGTACTTACGGTGTTTTTGACATCCATCAACATTTTCTGGCCAATCGCATGAGTGTGCATTCTCATTGTAGAGCAATCCACCGATGCACAGCTGTTCTGTAGCCGTCCCATTCCAGCAAGTCCAGTATCTAGTGCAGGAGGTCTCGTGTCCGAATATACCATACAGCCAGTCGCAATGTTCCGTTCCTATTGGCGGATCTGGAATAAATTGGAAAACCATTGTAATTTGGAATTTCAAAAATTAACTTTTTTATATTGACAGTGACATTGGGTTGCTTAAGTTGTATAATACTAAATACTGTCTGTAGTTAACGCGCGTAGTAGGTACACCTTTAAATAAAACACTTTAAGGTCTTAAACCGCGAATTATACTTATTATATTAGTTAAACTTATTTAACAATTATTTTAATTGCAGCCCGAAGTTTTGAATGCCTTGCAGCAGCTGTGGTCACGGGGACAATAAAAATGGAGTGTGTCTCTAATGTGAAAGTAATAACTGCTACGCTAGCGCCATCTGTTCCGTCGTATTTGGTATTTGACGAAACTGGCCTTTTAGAATTGACTAACGGTGTCTTGAAACGTACTTAAAATCCTTTTTAAATAAGTTTACCTATTTGAAAACATTAATATTTTTCACATTTTATTGCACATGAAGGCACTATATAATTTAAAAATCGAAAATAAATTGAAAAAATTTTCGACTTGAACTTTTTTTTTTTTCAATTTATTTTCGATTTTTAAGTTTACCAATTACTTAGCTTAATATCTTAACAAACATGTTTCAAACTTTAAATCTCATTATAGTAAGAATAATTCTTGTGTATCTAACTTATATGCATAGCCTTGACTATAGATTTAAATCGTTAAGTTGTTTCATTTACATGGTATTTTTTTAATGATAGAAGAGGAAAGACATGGCATGGGGTTATCTTGATTTTTTTTTTTCAATTTATTTTCGATTTTTAAGTTTACCAATTACTTAGCTTAAAAACTTAACAAACATGTTTCACACTTTAAATCTCATTATAGTAAGAAAATTCTTGTGTATCAACTTATATAACAGTAGGTTTAAAGAGGTCATAATGGATTTCTTAATGAAGAGGAGGAAAGACATGGCATGGGGTTATCTTGATGGTAGGTGATATACCCCACCCTATACCATTTAAGCAAGATACGCTGTCAACCTGCTTTTGCTTTGGTATTCGGAAATCTACCGACAGAAATTGAAGCGCGATTAAGTTTCACGGCTTTTTCATCTGTGGTCGGTGACTCGCGACCTCAGAAAGTGAGCGTCATCGCTCGGGCGCTCAGCGCCTTTTGTTGTCGGGTCTTCAAACCCAGTGGTGCTTCGGCACGGCGGACGGCGACTCTCCAAGACCGCGAGGTGGTAGCTCCTGATTGGTTTTCAAAAGAAAACCCTACAGGAGGCATAACGGTGGGGGCGTTTTAGGTGTTTTTGCTCTGCTGGGCAGTGGTGTCTTCGGGCACGTAGGACGGTTGACTTCAAGTCAGCGTGCTGCCTTCAAGGTGGAAAAGGAGAGGCGCGGAAGCGGGTTCGGCCGCTTTGGGAGATCTGCGGCTTTGCTGCGGCATTCACCAGGGCCGGTCACGTGGTTACTGATACGGTGTTTCATCCTTAAGCGATAAGACCCACATAACCCCTCACAATTGCTTCGGCTGTCAGTCCACTGGCGAAGTGTGGCGGCATCGTCATCCGCAGTCTCGTGGCACCCCTCCCCTTAAGGTGGCACGGGTGGACGACGCCCTTTGGTCCGTGTCCACTGGGGTGTGTTAGCACAGCATTTAGGCCGAGAGGACAAGCTCGCTTTCACATATGAGCTGTCGCTTGAGCAGTCGTTAGACGTGTCCGCTTAACACTGAGCCGTAACCAGGGAGGCATTTTCCGACGGAAAAAAAAATGGTGGGGATCGTACCCCATTGATCATTAGCCATACTTTGCTACCATTAGACCAACGAGTCCGTCATGATAAGAATAATGTACTTACTTATCTGGACTTTAGGATATTCACAATAGTTCGACCGCCAAGGGTAGTCGCATCCTTCTGTGACTCCACGGTGTTTCCCCGCGAAGACCAGGCCGTTGGGACAGTCATATTGCACCGGCTGACCACCATCACACTCCCAGTATTTGTCACAGTATTTATCGTCAGCTGAGATGCGAGACTTCGTCTTGCAAGGGTCTTCTACTTGGGCGCATGAAATTAAGGCACAGCTGGCTAGGAACCCTGTACAACAAAAAGAAGTCTTAAACATGATTGGTAATTTGAGGATTATTTTGACCAGCTTTTTCGAGATAAATTGCTACAGTACTTGCTGTACTGGTCGAGCAGCGGCCGCAAATAGTTAAATAAATTACTATGTAAAATCATATTTGTCGTGTAATTAAAAAATTTAATCGTCTACTTCACAACGTGGCCACCAAAGAGGTAACTTGTCATAATCATTTTAGCTTTAAAGATTGTTAGAAAGCTGTTTAGTATTAAAAATACTTTGGCCCGTAAATAAATAATTATTATATGTTGTTCGTCAGCTTAGTCATTGGTTTTAAAGTTCTGAATTGCACTATTTAGTTTAAATCCCGCGCATTATTTAATAAAAAGTACTAATCAAGGCTTGGCCACAAACAGGAATTGATGGGCTTACGTATTACGTACGTATTGGTCAATGAATGCCTCTCTTGCCGGCTGCTGCAGTAATGTACTATTAACGTAATATTTTTGACGTAAAGTCACCAACGTTTAAGAGTTAAATAAATTGGCGATTGGCAGTTATTTTATATAAATATATATAGTTTTATTCAATGTATGTTGTAATAATCAGTTTTATCGGTGTAAATCCAAAATATTATATTTAACTGCCGCTCAGTCCGAGACTAATACATTTCTAGTATTTTATCCCACTCACGTAAATTACAGACATCATTTATATTCTTGACATGCATTAATGACATTGTAGTCCATAGTAAAAAAACTTCACCGGCAAAATTTTCAGGTTTATAAAGTTGTAATATAATATCGAGTTTATATCTTAATTTCCATATTTTTTTTTAGAACTTTATTGTTTTGTAGTTCTAATCTAGGCCAATGTTCTAGAGCCTAATATTTTCATTGCGAATGTTCGTGTCAACACAAAATGGCCAATATGTCTACTTCCGGACCCATGTAAGTAATAGACATCAGGGAATTGGTAATGCAAACCCTCACGGCATATGTACCTCATCATAAAAACCAAAGTAACCCGATTAAGTGGATTCGGAATGCAATGGCATTTTCGTTAAAGGTCAGGACTTAATAAATTAAACTGGCACTCAGCTTAATCAAACGCGTAGCGATCTGAATGTAGGTTTCCATTGAACTCTAAACAACTTTTATATAGTTTATCTGTGGTTAGATTAAAATATACATACCTATATGAGAAAATTTAAATTTCCCGCCAAACCCAAAGACTTGACATACGCATGACGTAACGTCAAATAAGGAACAAGATGGCGGGATCAACGTTAACGTTAGTCGTCGTAAAATCTAAAATGGTGTTATTTAAAGAAGTGAGATAATTCATTTAATTTAACATATTAATTACTAATAATAGAAGTTGCCGAATTAATTAATTTGTTGTTTTATAAGGATTTATATGTGCGAAGTAAAAGCAAATGGTCGTTGCATTTACTTGAAACGGTTTAGTGTTTTTTTTATAACAATGTAAAGTTACATATTTTACAATAACTTTATATAAGCTGAATTTTTGCTCTACTATTAATAATCAATATGCTAACAAAGTAAGTACTTTAAATTTGTTTAAACCGTTGTTTGAAAAACATAGTAATTTATTATATGTTTAACTTAAAAGTGTCAATTTTTTAATGTTATGCCATTACGTAAGAAACGCGAAGCATCTCTGTCAATGAAACGTTTAATTTCGAAAGTGTTATTAGCTTGTTATATAAAATATTGGCGCGAATTTGCAGAACAAGTTTATGTGCAAACGTTTAAAAATTGAGGCCGCTAGAGGCAGAGTAGCCTAACTGCAATTTTATGAGTTGAGTTATTTATATTTTTATAGTCTCAAAATGTTAATCTACAAGAGCACAGTGACCGATTGTTAATATAATTCTTACAGAAATAACAGTATAAATTTATTTTGTTTTTTGTTATTAGGCTACTCTGCTATAGCAACCTCAATTTTGAAACCAGCTTTAACTTCACTCATAAACGTGTTAAGGCCCGCCAATCCTTCTAGAGAAAATAATTTTTGTCATACAAAATTCTAAAAGATGTATCCTGAAAGGCCATGTTATTAAAGAAAAGATGTTAACAGATTAAAACGCGAAATGTATTAGTTAATTTATTTTTATTTCGACCCAATGCAACGGCCGAAACGTCAGGTCTTGGTTGTAAATAAAATAAAAATTTTCGCGTTCAAACCGGTTTAAACTGTTTTCTTTCATGTTTATCAGAGAAACATTAATTACATTCACAATGTTATATGGATAGTTGTAATGTTAATCAAGGTTGTATCTTCCAAGAATAGACCTGTATTCAAAATCAACATTAGTACTAAACCAAAAAAACCCAAACAAATTTCCAATTAGCAGTCAGAATTGACGAAGTGAAAATTCCTAAAAATTTAGTATTAAAGTTTTTGTGAATCACAAGTCTAAAAGCCAATTTTAGATTCAGTTTAGCAAAGATATGTCATGTTTTCACAAGTAAATGCGAGTTTTACGAGATACGATGATAATGCTAAGCTAAGCTGAGCTTTCTCATACAAACGGCTGGAATGAGTCAGATAAAATTTTGCGATGGACTGTTGAGTTATTCTAGCAATAATAATTTATTAGATATTCGGAAAACCACAGACTGAATCCCAAACGGGAATTATATTCATAGTTTTTTGAATCGCGACCTGGACGTAATTTCGATATTTCTACCACACATTTAATATCCAGAATGCTAGACGTCCACCATGCTTCAGAAAAAATATAAGTTGATTGGAAACATGTTGGACCTGGGGGCCCGAACCCACGACCCGTTGATTGTTAGCCTACACTCCTACCATTACGCCAACGCGCTCGTCGAGTTATTTAGAAACCTCAGAGAAGCATTTTTAAATACTTTGTGAGTTCACAGTCACTGCTAATGTATAGCATATAAACATCAAGGTGTAGTTACAATTTTATAAACCAGTACTACGCATTTTAATCAGTTAAATCGGTTTTAAAAATTTAAAACGTATTTAATTTAAGCATTTAAAATTGTAAAAGAATCCGAGCCTCATAGATGAAAGTTAAAGCGAAAAAATAAACAATAAGATGTGAATACACTTTACGTAAGAACGACAAGCCGAATGGAAAAGTACAGTAGTTATATATGTTTTGACACAAATTACTTTCCTCTCAATGTATTTTTCCTGTTCTGCGTACTTCTTTGTGGGTTATGTAACCGCCAATACCCATTACACACCGCTATTACCATCTGAGGAAGCTCGTTCGCACCTTTTGGAGACTACGTAATATCCTATGTCGTGGTACAAGTTATAAGCTGTCAGCATTGAATCGATATCTGAGATAATCATGTTTTAAACGTCGGTATCGCATTCTAACAATAAAAAGATTGACGGAATAGTTGATACAATGGAAATGCATGATTTTTATATGATAGAGGAAATGATAAAGGAAAAATCGCCAAGTTTAATCGCGTTTCGGTTTCAGTCTGTGGATTTCGAATATCTAAAGTCCAAATAGGTCGACGGCGAATATTGTTTATACATATGTTATATTTCATCTACCATTAGGTGAATCGCATGCTTGTTTGTCCTCTATACTTAGTCATTTATTTTAAACGTACAAAAATAATTAAACGAATGTTGCATATTGAGTCAACTTCAATATACAATTTAAATATAATTTTCAAACGAAGTTATTAAAGGTAAATTACTAGTCCGTTGCTACACAGTTCTTTGTGGTATTAATAAAAAAATATATTCAACACTGCGATAAATTAAACACGGTTATCAAAGGAAAGATAAATCAATAAATAATTTCTTTCTAGACGTCGAAGCTGCAATTGTCTTTATCGCTTCAGCGTATGGCTTGATTGCGTTAATTGACCAGACGCACTAATGTATTTGGGCCGAGATGTGATCACAGTATTCGACGAGCTTAAGTGTGTTAATCGATTTTCGTCTCAACGGTTATATTATTTGGTAACACACCGTGAAATAATGCAATATGTCACGGGGTCAATTCTTGTGGCGGCATGATATGTCTATTAAAATTCTTAATACATGGAAAATGCATTTTGAGAAACAGAGTATACAATTTGTGAATCTTGGTATCAAACACGTATATCTATACTAACATTATAAAGCTGAAGCGTTTGTTTGTTTGTATGCGCTAATCTCATGATTTCTCATCTCTGCACTGGTTCGAATTTAACAATTACTTTTGTATTGCTTTACTTTCAGCAAAGGAAATGTGTAAAAAACGTGGAAAATGAAATATGGTCAAAATTACGTATAAAATAATTTTATTCTTTTTTTAAAATTCTAAAAAAATCTGCGACAGAATATGTATCTATCTTTTAATATTAACTTGCAAGAACCCTTTTTATGGTAATTAAATGACGTCAAAATAGTTCATAAACTAGATCGTTCGGCAAGTCAGCTACTACATATCTAGGCTGACTCATTACTTGGGGACGTAAGAATCTTAAAGCCCAGAAACCAAATGTTTATTTTATTAAAACGATAATAGTAAATTTCGTTTCTCCTTATGGGGATCTGTTTTTTTACAAGTAGTTGATTAGACTTCTATGTAAATTAAAAATCAATTAAATTAAAAAAAAAATACGACATGGGTAGGACTTAAAGCGGCATCCACAGCGTTCCATGCTGTTACTCTAACCAACAACATCACTTAGACTTTTATGGCCTGCCTGAACGAAACAATTTATTGATTCAGCCGAGCATTTGGTTTTTAATCTACCACGATTCTAATTGAGTCGAAATTCGTTCTAAACTTTAATAGTAACACCAGTCTAGCTTTGAAGTACTTTCAGCTGTAATGAGTCATGTCAAAAGCAGTCGTTTTACAAAGCTATACGTTATTAACACTTCGTTCGTTAAAAGCCTTTTAAAAAGCTTTGAAAGGCTTCGTTCATGGAAATTGAAAAGGTGTCGATACGTCAAAACTATATTACATATACCGCAAACATTTTGTAAGAGTGGCCTTGTAATTTATAGTTTTTGTATCTTAATAGAACTATTAAAACAATATGTAATACAAACTATTTACGCAATAACAAAAAATAAACATCTGTCATACTGGAAGTTATATTAAACAATAAATAAAGTTAAACGACCTTTGTCGAATTGCGTGTGATATTCTCATTCGTACTCAAATATACAAAATTCCATTACAATCGATGAAGCCGTTGTGGGAGTGCTTGATAACGATTTAACTTAGCACTGACTAACTGCTCCTTGCCTACCACTAAGCTATCGTGTCCTGTATACCACAGAACGTGGTAACTCAGCTAAGAAATAGATTTTTAAGTTATAAAATCTATCGTGTACAAATAATGTTTCGGACTATTTTATTCACTCTACTGAATCTAGATACACCCCTCTCTATTTTACATGCCTCTTTCAATAAAGACCACTTCATTTATATCCTGCATATGCAAATGACAGGGGTTGGACGACTTAATTAAAATACGTAATTACAACACAATTTGAGGTTATGTGAGCCTAAAATGGCTGCCTAGTGGTATGGAGTACTGAATTACGAAGTGTTTTACTTGAATCTAAAGGCCTGAAAATTGTTAAGAAGACTCCAAAAAACCAACAATAGAAATCGTTAAGACCTCGTGATATTGTTTACGCTTTATAGTGTATGAAAATTCGTTAATGAAAACATATTGTAGTTAGCATGTTTGGGTGATTCTCCACCCGGATGAAAATTTGATATTACTACTATCAACGTATAGATGAACATGTTTCAGAAACATTATAAATTTATTTTAGAAACATTCCGACATGTTTCTAAAATAAATGTATAATTTTCCCCCGCGAAAATTGAACTGACGAATCTTTGATTGTTATTAGCGACTATCAACCCGTTCAGTATATGATATTGAAAAGACAACTTCACGTTAAAGATGCATATAAGTGGATTGAACATTATAATTTGACGATAGATCGGGCTCGAGTCCCGCTCGTGTCGTCTAATTATAATGAAAATTTTTAACACAGCAATACCTTTTATTGGTGTGTAAATATGAAATTCCGTTTCCCCCTCGTGGGACATGGGGCGAACACATTTCTGTGTCCGTTTCACTGATCCGTTTTTTTAACGGGCAAGTAGTTGATCAGACTTCTGTTCCCTGCCCGACCGAAACAAGTTATTGTTTCCCCGGGCTTCGAACCCAGCACCTGTCGTGCTTAACGCAATGCAGTCTGTTACTTTTCATTCACTTATACTAAAGCCTATCTTCGGAAGTTCGTTCTTTTAAACCTACTAAGTCCAGTATAACTTACTTGTGCATCGGATTAAAGTTACGAACTACGCGAATTGTATTCGCAAGCGAACAAGATATTTATCTAGACTTTCATTAAAAAGTTTTACTTGAACTTTCATAGTCTGAAAGATTCTGAAGCTATCTTACGATTTCTTAGACGTTTAATCCAAGATGATTGAGTATCTTGTAATTTTTTCTCAGGTGGACATAAGTATTATCAACTAAAATGCTCTTGGTACCGTATTTATAATATCTATTTAGAATGCTAGTTCCAGACATTTCAAGAGTATGAAGATGATATTATCTTCTGTGCCCATCTATACTAATATATAAAGCTGAAGAGTTTGTTTATTTGCACGCGCTGATCTCAGAAACTACTACTTTGAATTAAAAATTTCTTTGTGTTAGATAGAGCATTTATTGAGGAAGGCTATAGGCTAAAAACATCGTGACTAATAGGAGCGAAGAAAAAGCTGGAAATGTCGAAAAACCGGGGAAAATTATTCATCCTTGTGGGTTTCCATTGCGTACACAACGAAAACTGTCCAAAATACCCAAAAAATATGAAAGAAAGATTCCTTTTTAATGCATTCAAAAAAATGTCCGCCATTGTATATGTCTCTCTTTTAAGGTTAGCGAAAAAACACTAACGTTTGAAAACATTAATATTGTTTACATGTTATGGCACTTGAAGGCACCATATGATTTAAAAATCGAAAATAAATTGAAAAAGTTTTCGACTCGAGAGCAACAGCACGAAACGCTGACGATGCCGGTTCAAGTCGTGCCCGAGTCGAAATTTTTTTCAATTTATTTTCGATTTTTAAAGAAAACACTATTCTACGCGAAGTCGCTGACACAGCTAGTACTAATATATAACGCCGAAGAGTTTGTTTAAACGCGCTAATCTCAAGAACTACGGGTTCGAATGGAATTTTTTTTTTGTGTTTAAGAGAGCATATATGGAGGAAGGCTATAGGCTATAACATCACTATTCGACTGATAGAAGCGGAGAAACAACGAAAATTGTAAACAAAAATCGGGGACTTAGCTTAGATCTTAGCTACAAAACCGGTTCAGGATATCCAAAAAATATGGATGAAAGAAAGATTCCTCTGTAAACTATCTACATTATTTCCATATTTTAAAATTAACTTGCAAGAATGACGGGACGGAGGACGTCGTGGGTAACAGCTAGTGGGAAATACTGTTGTGTGCATATTTGAGGTTATAAATTCACAGTGACCTTAAATTGGTACAACATCAAAATTGTAATCCGGTGGTTTTGACTCCCAAATGTCGTATAGAATTTTCAATGAAGTAAATGGAAATGTTGTTTGTTGCAAAAACAGTAGGATGTGTACTTATAATCTATCTGATAACTATAAGGCGTTCACTTCTCAAGGTTGTGAGAATCAGCGAAATGACAATTGTAACAAAAGGTTTCTACATTACAGCAACATGGGTTTTGCTTTTTGTAATGTAATGTAACACTTTGTCGCCAGTTTACATGTGAACTAAAAGCCACTTAAATTAACATCGTTTAAAAGCAATTTTTTTTAAATTAAAAATTAAACAAACTAAGACCGAAATGTGATTAAACTTCACGTCTTTTTCGGACGGAATTTCGATATTCCTAACCTTTTAATATCTAGATTTCCAGACGACGTCCAACATGTTTCAGAAAGATTATAAATTGATTAGAAAATGTTGGACCCGGTGGGGATCGAACCCTCGTCCCGTTGATTATTAGCCGTACATTGCTACCACTACACCAACAAGCCTATCAATTTAGACATCTGTTGTTTCTGAATTATTTAACTCACCAATAATATTAATCCAATGCCTTCCATTCGCCATTTTGCTATCTGAAACAAATATTCGAGTTTAATTTATTGAAGAATGTAGATAACACAATAGGTCAAAATTAATGTATTATTACAAATTATTTGTTCAAGTTGTATTGACATAATCTTTACTAATATGTAAAGCTGAAGAGTTTGTTTGTTTATATGCGCTAATCTCAGGCTGTCTTTCTTTTATTAACTAGAAAGAGCGACGGGAAGGGACGCGACAGACGTCGTGGGTAAGCTTAGCTTATAAAGATGATGGGGTTTGCAAAAACGAATGTGGATGTCCAAAATAACGATACTCGCGAACGCAGCTTATGGCACAGCTAGTAATAAATATATTCGTAACGGTTACCGGGTCAGCCAGTGGTTAATGATCACCTGGGTTCGATTCCGGATTCAATTTGTTTCTGAAAATTAATTCATCAATACTTTTTTAAACTAATCGTTATCTTTGCGTGCGTTGACTACTGTTGTTGATTTATAGTTGGAGAACGTGAAGAAGTAGAGAAGAAAGCAGTTATATCAAATTACATACAAATAGAAATACAAATTAAATTGCAAGGCAGTGTTATATTAATGGTCCATAAAAAGCAAGCAAAAATAACCAACATCTTTGTTTTTTTTTTTCAAGAGGTATTCTCCTTACTAATAATATAAATGTGAAAGTAACTCTCTCTGTCTGTCTGTTACTCCTTCACGCCAAAACTACTGAACGGATTTGAATGAAATTTGGAACACATATGGTCTAGACCCTGAGAATGAACATAGGCTACTTTTTATGGCGAAAAAAGGGTTGTAAGGGGTTAAAAAGGGGGGTGAAAGTTTGTATCGAAATTTGTGGTTTTTGAAGATAGAACATTGAGATTTTCTTCTTTGGCTATTTGAGAATAGGAGAGGGGTTGGGAGTGGGAGTGGGAGTGTGAGTGGGGCTGGGAGTGAGCGTGAGAGTGGAAGTTAGAGTAGGAGTGATGTGAGGTGAGAGTGTTGCGGCAAAGTAGCACTTACAACATAGATTAATAAACAGCCTAAATAATTAAAAATTCTACCCAAGTCACTATTTCACGCGAACGAAGTCGCGGGCACAGCTAGTAGTTTATAAAAACGCCTTCTCCCGTCTATTATTTCAGAACATTTTAAGTAACACTCATTCGAAACAAATTATATGTTCTTAACATTTTCCTATAAATTTTCTCGAAAACTCGTGGAACCTTTGTAATAACAAGACAAGAGATGAAAAGTTGGTAAAATGTATGTTATTTCTTCGTGGGAACGCTATCACTTTTGTTGTTTCAGAAGTTAGTATTAGTTCAACTTGATAAAGTAAAAAACTTAAACTTGAGTTTCGACGTTTTAACTTTATTCTTTAATTTTTAGTAGCTAAATATTAAAAGCAAAAGTTATTTGTTAACTTTTTTATCTCATTGTTTTTACCGTAATATTTTGTAATTAAACGCCCTCCCCCCGTGACCATGGCTGCTGCAAATATGGCATATTGGAAACAAGTTAACTAATATCACTAATATTATCAGTTTACACTGTTATTAACTAATAAATTTCGCAGTTCCAACTGGTAAAATGTTTATGTATATAAACCTTTAAAATTGAATTATTTGAATATGTACTATCGCGTAACCTACTAACAGTACTTAACTGAGGAAAAAACTAAGACATCAGTTTTTCTAAATTTTTTTTTAATAATAATAATAAAACTCTTTATTGCACAAACATAGACATAAGAACATAGACACTTAAAGTTATATTTACAAAATAAAAATTGTTTGTGCAAAGGCTTATTATCGCCTATGGCAATTTCTTCCAGGCAACCTTTGCATGTAGAAATAAAAAAAGAGGAAATTACAGTAAAGTTACATGTTTATACATTTATCTCAATGAAATAAATAAAAATGGCTCGTGTTGTTTTTTACACTGAGTAAAATTTCTTTCATCTTAGACCGACCGATAGTTAATTGCGTACTAATTATGATATTTAATTACAAAATATTTTTTTTCGTCCCCTGTATATCTGTGGCCTGAAATGAGCTCATTACTAAATATCATATTATAAGTGTCACGAACACATTGCTGAAATTAATTATAGGTCAAAGCCGCTCAAAATATTGAATTATTGATGAGCGCAACCTGCCTTTGAGGTCAAGTAAACGATTTTGTGTCGGCGGCAGTTTCAACTCGACCTAAGTGTTACTTAACAATAGATCTTAGTATTCATAACAATGATGTATGCTAAATACAGTAAGCACATTCTTAAAGTAAAACACATTATAATAATGACATCATAGCATTAAATTCGTGGGTTCGATTCCCATCCAGGTCCCACATGTTTCTATAACTTCTCTTATTGTTCTTTCAGAATTTTAACTAATTATAGTCAGTAGTTAATGCGAGTAGTGCAGATTTTAAATAAATCACTTTTGACGGATTTAAAACGTGGAATATTCTCGTTAACTGTTTATAAATTGTATTTAACTACGGCTCGAGTTTTTAGACGGATTGCAACAGCCGTGGTCAAGGGGACACACAAAAAACAGACAGTGATAAGTTAACTAGTATATTTCGAATTTTAAACCGTTAAATTTAGCTAACTCCTTTTTTTACAATTATGTAGCATTGTATTTACTGTAATTTACGCAAGCTCACATTTATAAGTTGAACTAATACATTTCGAGTTTTAAACCTTAAAAAGTATTTTGTTTAAGTATAAAATAACCTTCCTTTTCCGAAGTTGGTTAAATAAACCTTGTACATGTAAACTTGGATACTCTCTCTCGTTCTAATGACTTCCCCGACATAAAGGTTTATTGTGAATAGATAAAAGCGACAAGAATCGCATAAAAACAATAGTGAAATGATTGCAAAACCTCACGACCTGTTCACACGGGGTTGCATCAAACTGAGAGGCTGTTGAAAACGGCAATTATCGCACGTGATGCAATACATCGCCGATCTAATCATTAAATGTGAAATAAATCATACGAGTAGAGCAATGGACGACAAACATATAGATAGAACCAAAATGCTTATAAGCGGTAGAGTGAATGGAGTCTAGCACGTCGAACTACGATCCATTTGAAAAACACAAATTTAATTGAAAATGAGTTTTAACGTTTCGGATGCTTTGCTAACTAATAAATCGCGTTTTAAACCGTTGAAGTGTTTTATTTAAATGTGTACTACTCGCGTAAACTATAGACAGTATTTAAAGAACACATACTTTAATTTAATAGACATCTTCGAGGCTCTAATTTGAATAAGGGTATATGGTTTGAATCCCGGAGATATAAAATAAGATTTATGTCTTTAACACCTATTTTTATTTCTTATGAAATACTAGTTTCACCTGCGACCTCGTCTGCGCTCAATAGTTATTTTGGGGATTAAAATTCGTTTTTGTTGACCTTCTCCTTATCTTTATAAATTTTAGCTGTTACGACGTCGATCGCGTCCCGTTGTTCTTGCAAGTTCATCTTTAGGGAGACATATACAGTGGACATTTTTTAGATCATTTATAGACGAATCATTCTTTGATGCATTTTTTTAGTTTCTTAGACCATTTTCATTTAATAGTGTTTCCCTTTTCCACATTTCCCTCTATTTCTTCGCTCCGACCAATCGCAGCCTGATGGTCCAACCAAGACTAAAATATTTTTTTTATTTTGAATCAGCGGTTAATGAGATTAGAGCGTTTAAACGTACAAACTCTAGGTTTATTTAATAGAAATTCACGAACCGTTGCCTCAAAATTTTAACCGCTTGGTTACAAAGTCACTTTATCTAAGATAAAGTAATTTTAAGCCCTGTTTAGAAGCAATGCCTTCTGCATACTAATTCCTTAATAATGGTAAGATCTACTTAGAAACTCAACAAGGGGCTGTATTTTATAATTATTCACCCTTAATTAATGTGCCATAAATTCATTTATGGCTCGGTAGGGGACTGTGATTAATAAAATAGTCGTCTACTACATAATATAATTTACAACCAGTTACTTTATTGACCGCTGTTGTTGGCAAATGTGGGGCCTAGGATGCAATACCGGAAAAAAAAATTCTTAGTGTCCCCGCGGCACAGCTGCTGCTAAGCATCCGAAACGTCGGACCGTAGTTAAAATAATTTTCAAATATGTTTAACAAAAATATATCGCGTTTTAAACCGTTAAAGTGTTTTATTTAAATGTGTACCTATACTACAGACGGCACTTGTCTTCTAGTAGCCTCTTCGCTCATCAATGCCAACATATTTCAAATCAAATTATCTGAAACATGTTGAATGATGTCTGAAAATCTGTCTATTATGGTATATAATGGGTCGCAAACCACCGTCCACAGATAAAAATGCCGGTCAGGTTTCATCGCGTTGCTGTTCCAATGGATTTCCGAATATCCGAATCTCCAATCGATCGACAGCGCATCTTGTTAGTTATATCTGAAGTATTTCACCTTCCATCAAACGAATCCTTGCTTGTCTGGTCTTCGCTAGTATTAAGCTTCCTATGTATATAAATTATGTATGTGTACATAGAACATAATTATAATCGAAACAATTCCATAATTACAACGGTACAAACGAACTTGATATTCATATTTCTCATTAATATTAATATTTAACAGTTACCGTTTCGCACCAATAGCCCGACAATGCAGTTACAATATGTAAACAGTAAATCAGCCGCCACATGTTTCATATTTTATCAATTTATATAATATGTTGGACTTCGTGCGTAAATCTAGATAAAAAGGGTGGGGAATAGAATAATTTTCCGTCTGGGTCACGTACCACCGTCCACAGATGAAAAGCGCCGTTTCGGGTTTTCAGACTGTGGATTTCCGAATATCCAAAGCCAAAATAGGCCGACGGCACATCTTGTTTCGATGCTATAGGCTGAGGTATATCAACTAACAGGTGCCTAAAAGGTTCTGTGCCCGGTTCATCCCCGCGTTATCTATACTACTACTATAAAGCTGAAGAGTTTGTTTGTTTGAATGCTCTAAT